TATCCTTCCTATTCCCACTCCCCCTCTCTTCCCTTCATTCCCCTTTTTTTAAATGCAAAGTACTTCTATTCTTCCCCAACCCTCGCCTTATTGTGAAATTATCATCCACATATCAGAGAAAAAATCTGGCTTTTGTTTTTTTGGGACTGGCTTATTTCACTTAGCGTGTTTTATTCTTTTTTAAAAAAATTTATTTTTTACTTGTAGTTGGACACAATACCTTTATTTTATTCACTTATTTTTTATGTGGAGCTGAGGATCGAACCTGGGGCCCCACACGTGCTGATCCACAACCCTAGCCCTCATTTTTTTTTTTTTTTATGGCTGAGGAATATTCTACTTTTTGTATGGCTGAGTAATATTCAGAAGTTCAAAATTTAATGGCTGAGTAATATTGTGTATATGTACCACATTTTCTTTTTCCATTCTTCTGTTGAAGGGCACCTAGGTTGGTTTCATAGTTTAGCTACTGTGAATTGCAGATCTGGGTTTTAAATCCTAACTCTGCCACCTGCTGGCAGGGTCATTTCCTTTGTTTATAAACTTGTAATAATCCTGTGGTGTTTTGGAGAGAGAGAGATGATGAGGTTTTGCAGTTCCTGCTGAAACAGTATCTGGATCTTTTTCTCTTCACTAAGAAGACTTCGTGAAATTGTCCATAGCTGCTCACACTCACTCTTTCACCCCTTTCCCTCAGTCATTCTCCTGGGAAACAGCTCTCACAAGCAGCAGTTACCTTCATTCCAGATCTAGCATCTTCTCATTTGTCCTGCTACTTGATATTCAACATCATTCTTCTTAGAGATCATTTCTCTTTTTGGCTTCCTCTTTAGCTCTCCAGCTGCTCTTATTAAGCCTACTGTCCTTCTGCTTTTCTGCCTGTCATATAAGTGACTGTTCCGTCTTCCTGGTTGAGAGGCAGTAAACCTGGTAAAGAGGGATGGGCAAGATAGGTCAGTGGGTGGAAGATGTATAAGTTACTGGATGAAGCTGGGCGCAATGGTGCACACCTGTGATCCCAGCTGCACGGGAGGTTGAGGCAGGAGGATCGTGAATTCAGCAAAAGTGAGGTGCTAAGCAACTCAGGGAGACCCTGTCTCTAAATAAATAAAATACAAACTAGGACTGGGAATGTAGTTCAGTGGTCGAGTTTCCCTGAGTTCAATTCCCGGTACTCCTCCACCCCCAATAAATAAGTTACTGGATGAGAGATTTGGAAATCTGTCCAGGACCTGGCTATATTGCTTATCAATGCAAGTTTCCAATTATAGGCAGCTCATCCTTACTGGGAAACTCTGCCCCCTACTGTTATATTTTTTCATTAGGGCCTGAGCTTGCTATTAGCAGTTAAAGAAGCTAGAGCATATTAATCCTTACTTTCTGAGTAAAATCATTAAAAGAATGTTTAATTAGGAGCAAATGACATCATCACAGGGAGCCTGCAATGAGCATTAGTTATATATTGGAAACTTGGAGAAAGTTTTCTTGTAGCAGGACTAAATTAAAGGGCCTGCCCTGAAAAGGCCATTGGAGTAGTCATGAGAGCACCTTCTCTGGGAAGAGTCCTCTGCCTCTCAGGACAACTGCTACCTCTAATTTAGAGAGAGAAGAGTTCTGGAAGGAAGAGTTGAAGGGCCAGTAGGAAAGGCCACCATGCAGATGCTTCCTGTCTTTGTGTACCTTTGGCATTGAGCCTCCACATCGGTGTGGAGGAGATGGTCCACTGTCATCTGAAATGGACAGGGGCTGGTGCTGTGTGGAGGGGAATTCTTTTCCAAGGCAACCTCCACCCCCAACTCGACATTGGAGCACCTGGCTGAGTTCTGGTATAGGGTCCCCTCTGACTCTACTTGTAATGTAGGCTCTTAGAATCAACTGTTCCCAGCTGCACAGAGCCTCTGCCTCTGCCAGTTTAAGTCTGCTGGTTTCCACTGATATTCCTTTCCAACCCCTATTTTTCTTTCCATTTTGACTAGTAACATCCCTTTGCTAAGACTCAGCTGCCATTCTCTCCTGAATACTTTTGGCAATTGCTCTCTAATCTCCAGACACCACCACCTACTCTCCTCTAATTCAAAACCAGTTGTATACATAACTTTGAATCTGGCCAAGTGGTACTCAGTAGAGTACCTAAATGACCGAGTCTTCTCATGCCATCAAAATAAAACCTTTGACCCTTCAAAAAAAAATCTGGTTAATGCCCGGAGGTCTTAATCCTTACTCATACTGCTTTTTGGTTCTGGGCTGACTCATTTCCTTCTTTCTTTTAGTTCTTAATTCAAGAAAGAGAAGCAAATACCCAGGGCCACACTGTTAACAGTCACTGGAACTGTATTTTCTGAAGGCTATCCCAAGCTTTCCATTCTAACTGGCAAAAGAAAAGTACCACAAACCCTGGCAGCTCCCATAGCTCTCTCTCCCTTAGTTGGGAGAGTTTCCATGCCTTGTGGACTGGGTCATTGTGAAAATGCACAAACATCCTTGCTGCTAGGCCTGACCCATGGTACCCACCAAAGCCATGTGCAGGTAGTGCTTCCCATTGCTTTTATCTACTCTGTTTCCCCTTGTCACTGGGGGCTGCAGGCAGTAAACATTTACCTGAGAGGGGTTGTCAATAATCCATACCTGGAAAGCCTCCCACATATACCTGCAAAACCTATCAGTGGGTATGTACTCTCTAACAGGGTAGGGGCAAGACGTCAAGTTTTGCCGTCTCTCAGATTTCTTTTCAATTCAGTTTCCCAATATAGCACAGATATTAATGCTCAAATAATACCATTATGTAAAGTAAAAAGCCTGGTGGTATTAACAAGAGCCCTGGCCACTAGGGATACCAGGACCACGGACACCTGCTCATGTGCCTGTATGCCCTGCTTCTCAATTGGCTTAGAGGAGGTGAGAAAGCTTCGTTTCTCTTTTTCCTTTGAAACACCTCTCATTTATGCCTTTTCTTTTTTAAACCAGAGGCCCAATTCTAACCTGATATTTTAGGATCCTGTTAATGAGTTTTGCACAGATAAGTATTCCTAATTGATTTCTTGAAATACCCACTGAACTCTGGTTCCCGGGAAATGGTGGGTTTGTGGTCAGGAGGTGACGGTAGAATTCTTTTCTAATCCTGTGATCTATATCTACTCTGGGACTGGTACATGCTCCTTCTTTTTCTGCAGTGTCCTCATTCAGCTGGCATTTATTGGGTATAATTTTAAGCCAGCTTCACCTGGTGTTTCAATTTGGGTCCCAACAGGAAACAGATGGTATACTTAAATTAGGATAATTAGAGGAGGGTTTATTCACAAAGAGGCTGTAACGATGATGTACATGAAGAGTAGTGGATTCATAAGAAAGGACAGTATAAGGACCTAAAGTTTGAAGTTGTGAACACTCATTATTCCTAGGCCTGAAGAGACAAGATTCAAAAGACCCTGGCAGGAGAGTCAGATTACAATACACTGGCTTCAGTCTTTGCCTGCTCTGGTTTCCTCTGGGGTCCCACTGGCTGAACCCAACTTGGTAAGCCAGAGGGCCTGGGTGTCCTTTGGCGCAGTCCACATGGGTCTGACTTCCAGGGCAGATAGCAAGCGCAGCATGGATCTAGAGGGGCAAACCAAAGACCTGGCACACAGGAAATCTAGGATTGCAATTAAACTCCTTGCTTGGTGTACTCTATGAATGATGTTCCAAAAGATAATGCTGTCTTCAGGGACACTGGTTTATCTAAGCAAATCTTTTCACTCACTACTTTCTCTACTAGGCATGGCAAAGCAGCAGAATTCTTGAGATCCTAAATATCCTCCTGAATTGGTCAGACAGTGATAAAGATAAGTTTTCCTCCTTCCTCAGCTTCACTTTATCTGATAATCCACACTCTGCCCAGCAGACAGATTTGGGTTCTCTGAAGAAAGGAGACATTAGGAGTGTGTAGAGAGAGGAATGAAAAGGAAGGCTCTAGGTGCTGAGGATGTAGGTGTGGCAGCTTCAATCCCCCAAAATAAGACTGTACATGGGGAACAGGGAGTCTGTTAAATGGGCAAGGCAACAGTAGGGAAAGTTCCTAATGCTCTGTGGGCCGAGACCCCAAGGCATCAGAGATTGGTGGCTAGTCCCAGCCCTGGCTAAGCTAGTCTGCTTCAGCAAGATCGCCAGACTGGGACCTTCTTGCTGGGCTCTCCTTCTTTGCAGCTTCCAAGAGCTTGGAAATCAGATCTTTTTGTTCACATGGCTGCATGTGCTGAGGATACTTATGAGTGGCAGACAGGTGAGTCTGGAGTCTAGGTAAAGTAAGCAAGGGTGATGGTTAGAAGCTCAGATTCAGAAGGCAAGCTGCCAAAGTTTAGATTATAACTTGGTTTCTTACAATCTTTGTGACTTTGGGAAAGTTACTTTAATGTCTCTGTTTTTCAGTTTCCACATCTGTAAAAAAGGGAAGGATAATTATAACTACTTGCAGGGTTCTTAGGAGACAGTAATGAGTTAGTATTTGCAAAGTTCTTAGAGCCCAAGCTCATGGAAAGTACTGTACAAATATTGGTTAAATCCAACTTGAATAGCCCTACTTCCTGGGCATCTCTCAGGCCTGCCTGTGCAGATTCTTGAGGTTGGTGGTATTTTTCTTCCAGTCAATGTACACCTGACTATTAAAGTTTATGGGTTTGTGTGGCTCCTAAAGAGGGATAGCCAAATTGTCTCTAGGAAGAACAGGCCCTCTTGGGAATTTAGAAGCTGAGCTTTTGGGAACAAGGAGAGAGTAGATCCCATATGACCACTATCCACTTATGTGGTAAGAAACTATTTAAGGACATTGCTTGTTTAGGCTGAGGTAGGGTCATTCTGACCTGGCACACTGGCTTTTGGGCGTGACTGGGACATTCACTTCTTCCTAGCTGAATCATCTTTCTTCATTGAGTAAGAGCAAATTCTGCCTTGGGCCAGGTAGTTTTGAAAAGCAGCACAAATGGGCTGTAATAATTCTTGCATCTTAACTTTTGTGTTCTCATCAGGAAGAATGTACAGACTTTTATCAAGGCAAGAAGTTTCTGCAGAAGACATGCCAGCTTGTTCAAGAAGATCCTGTTGGGCCTGTTGTGTTTGGGTGAGATAATGAGAATTCATGGAAGCGAGAAACACAGTCATTTGAGGAATGTTACCTGTGTCAAGATGATTACTAGGTGGAAAGCAATTTGACTCACAAACTGACCTAAAGGCTCTTTGATGTACAGCTCTTAACTACTTGTAGGTGAACCATAATTTATTGAATTGCACCTACAGGAAAAAGTAAAATCTGAGAATAAGTTATTTTCAAAACTGTATTATATGACAGACTTAAAATATTTCAGAGAATATGAGCTTATCTCTTTTTTATGTCTTGATTTGATGGAGAACACAATTTCTTGTAGTCTTTGCAAGAGAAACCTATGATAGACATTACTTATTTGTTGGTTTACAAGTAAAATCAATCATATAAAATGTTTTTAAAAGACAGTAAACCTTTGTTTAGAATGTACTGTCAGTGATGTATGGGGCTTTGATGTCAAAGGCAGCTGGGATAGTGAAAACAAAAATTATATTCTGAGGTGAGTCAGAGAGCCATGGGGTGAGGGCCATATGGTTGTATTTCCTAGTAGTAGCCTTGTTTACACATTTTAAATTTTTTTATTCATTTATTTTTTGCGATATTAGGGATCAAACTCAGGGTCTACCATGTGCTAGGCAAGTGCTATACCACTGAACTACATTTCCAGCCCCCTGTTGACATGATTTTGCTCAAGAGGAAAGCTTGGCTTTTAAACATTTTAATGTGACTAAGGTAATTAAGTTTCAAAAAGAGATGACTGATGCTGGGTGCGGTGGTGCATGCCTATAGTCCCAGTCACTTGGGAGGCTGAGGTAGGAGGATTGTAAGTTCAAGACCAGCCTCAGCAACTTGGCAAGGCCTTAAGCAATTTAGTGAGACTGTCTCAGACTAGAAAAATAAAAGAACTGAGGATTTGGCTGACTGATTAGACACCCCTAAAATCTCCTCCACACACACAAAAAAAGAGACAACTGGCTTGAGAAGTGGATGCTGATGAAACACACTCCCAGGGAATATGGTGAGACTTTATCAGATAAAGTAAAGGGGCTTGAGATTTCTCTTGGGACAGGTGAAAATAGGTGATCTTCAAATAAACTGGATTGTTTTTGGGAATCCCAAGAAGAAAACAATTAGCCTCTACTCCGATTTTGAGGGGTGGAGCACAGTTTTATGGTAGGGCTGGGTGGCGTGGTCTCTGAGGGGCTTTCTTGCTCTGAGTCCCAGGCACTTATGACTGGAACTTCTTTTATCCCAAGGAAGCTCTGTTTCATTGACCTTTTTACTCTGTACTTTCTCTTTTTAGCTTATGCTGCCTACTTCCTAGCAGCTTGCATCCTGGATTTCCAGAGGGCACTGGCGTTGTTTGTTCTTACCTGTTTAGTGATCTTTGTCCTGGTTCACAACTTTCTGAAAAAATTATTTGGTGAAAAATTAATGAGATGTCTGAAACCCTTTAAAAACTCACGCCTGAGATTTTGGATGAAATGGTAAGATGTGGATCTCAATATCCTTGGCCCCATAACTTATCCCAAGCACAAGTCTCCTTCTCCCCCTCCTCCTCTTCTTCCTCTTCCTCCTTCTCCTCCTCTTCCTCCCCTCCTCTTCCTTCCTCTGACAGTCCCTGAGTGGTCTCTTAGATCTTATTCTATACTATACAAAAGCAAAGTGCAGAGGACATACAGCAACAGGCCTCTGAGCGCTGGACCTTGGTCAGGTTTCTTGTAGACCTGGGTCTCTATGTTGCTAGGTGAACCCAGGAGGGGTTCAGTTCCAGAGAAGATTTTCAGTCTGTTTCTCATCAGGGCCTATGTCAGAAATGAGAAGAAACATGTTCCTTTTCAATGAAGGAATCAGAACAAAGAGGCTTGCAGCTTCATAAAACTATCCAGTTGAGTTTGTGGTCATCTCCCCTGGTTCTCTGATACATTAAAGACTTCTATCACACACTGGTATCTTTTACAACTTCTTATAGTTTAAGGAACAAACTCAGTATTCAGGTATACTGAACTGGATCCAACAGCAGATGTAGTTCATCTAGCTATGACATGCATGTATACTTTGATTACAGGCCAGGAGTGAGAGAATAACTTGGACTTTCTATAAGTTCCTCTTTGTTCCCATCTTCCAATGGATTCAGAGAAAATGGGTATTAAGGATGTTTGCAACAGTGATGATTTGGAGAAACTACACCAGACTACCACCTAAATTTTGAATCATTGATTTATTTGACACTGGAAGGATAGAGCTAAAATGACCTTAATTACTAGCAAGATGGATTCTGGAAGCCAGATTTTATTCACTTGAAGTGAGATGGGTTTACAGCCAGATTTTATTCACTTGAAGTGAGATGGGTTTACAGTGAGAAGAGATCTGAATTTTAGCCCTGACCTATAATGTCTTTCATTATATTATCTCAGTTGAACAGTGTGCTCTTTTTGTTCTGTTTTCATCCATGATCTCCCTTCTGATCCTTTTCTTTTGAACTTGAAGGATTCTAACATTCAGACATGAGGTAACCAGTCTGTATATTAATCAAATGTGTTTGGTACGTGAAAGACCACAAGACCAGAAGTAGTTGATTTATGACTAAGGCTTTACTCTTACTGGTTAGAAACTGGATGAAGACCCATGGTAGGGGTTAATACATCCTTTTCCTTCTTTGGTTTTTAGTATTTGGGTCATTCATTGGAACAGTCTTTGAGAATGAATTTTTGTTATGTTATTAATATGGAAACTTGAGGAAAGGAAAGTCATAGGATTTATGTCCTCCAGTTAGAAACTTCATTCCATGAGTAAGTTGTGGGGAAAGAGGTGGAAGCTAGTGAATTGTCAGATGAATGATTCTCCTAGTGTATCTCTGTGTCCAATCAACAATGAACTATTGAATTATTTTACTTTTCCTTGGGGTGAACTTGTATTTTTCAGAGGTAAAGTCAATTGTTATTCATTCACTCAGTGGATGACACAGTTTTGGCATTCCTTCTTTAGGGTGTTCAGAGGAGCCTGTGTGGTTGGACTTATCCTGTGGCTGGTTCTAGACACAGCACAAAGGCCAGAACAGCTGATCTCCTTTGCAGGAATCTGCATGTTTATCCTCATCCTCTTTGTCTGTTCCAAACACCATAGTGCGGTAAGTTTTGGGTATTTTGGCACAGAATAGGGGCCAAGTACTAATTACAAAGAATCAAGTGGTCATTACAATGGCATAGAACTAGTTTAGTAGAATTTGCCTCTTTGACAGTTTTATTCCAAAGAGAAGTTTTAAAGATCGCAAAGGCTTTAGGCCACTTATTTTTCAAACTGTAGGTTGTGATGTATTAGTGAGTCTTAATGTACATTTTGTGAGTCTAGGCAGCATTAAAGTAAGAATAAAAAAAATAAGTGAAGAAAGAAAAAATAGAATATAATGGAGAATTGTGCTAAAGTATTGGCTTATAAAATTTATTTGCATGTTATTGTTAAGTGTCCTCTAACTTCTAGAAAACCATAAGAATACATGTGGCTCTTGACATTACTGTACCATTTTTCCTTACTATCCCCCTCCTCTCTGTGCAAACTTACTCCAGATTTACTATTAACATCCTGGGTTAGTTCTACCTGGAGTTCATGTGTCCATTTTAAAATTGCAACCAGGTAATGGTTAGCAGGCTCTAGAACTCACATTGTAATAATTTTATTTTTGATTCCAGGTGTCTTGGAGGACAGTGTTTTGGGGCCTGGGTCTTCAGTTTGTTTTTGGGATCGTGGTCATCAGAACTTATCCTGGATTTATTGCATTTCAATGGCTGGGAGATCAAATACAGGTATGGGAAATTACATGTAAGCGCTTAATTCTTTCAGAAGCCTAAAGAAAGGAGATCTGAGGGAAGTATGGGAAGGAAGGCTGTGCCTAGTTAATAATAGTGGTGGGAGATCTGATTGGGAAAGGAGAGAGAATCCTGGGGTACAGCTAAGAATGTGAGTGAAGAGAAGCTACCTGCTGGGGACACAGCCAGCTCACAGGCCATCAAAGGGAGGCCAGGCTCAGTAGCAGCAGTAGGTCCTAATCATCCATGGGGTGGATTCCATCTCTCTGCCTATGTCCTACCTGGATTGACTTTGTTCTTGTATTTTTCTCCCTTTCAGATTTTCCTGAACTACACTGTGGCTGGCTCCAGTTTTGTCTTTGGAGATATGCTGATCCAAAATATTTTTGCTTTTCAGGTTGGATCTATTTTATGGACAGGAATGATAGTGGAGGGGTTGGAAAGTAAAGCAGAAGATGATAATGTATGTCCAGGAGACCAGCCAGGCTGCACACTGATTGGATCCTAAAAGGATGGTTTAATACCATCAAAAGGAAACAGCATCCATTTATTGCCTTTTGATCATTACCATCCTGAAAGTGGATGAAATGAGGAGGGGGAGGTTTAGAAAATATCTCCTTGAGATGTAGTACAGATGGGCTAGTAGATTTGTAATACATTTTGAATTTTTTTTCCTAGACTACACTGTATCAGATGTGCTTGGAATTCAAGAGTTTAATTTAGAGGCCTGAAACACAGTTTATTTATGGTATATGTAGCGCATACAATGTAATATCTCACCAGCTGTCCACCACTCTCATTACAGACCTTACCAGTCATCCTTTTCTTTGGATGTATGATGTCCATTCTCTACTATCTGGGCCTTGTGCAATGGGTAGTTCAGAAGGTGAGTTGTTTTCCTCCTCTGGTTGGGAGATGGGTCTTTATGTTGGGATCTATCAAGGCCATGGAAGATGACACTTTGGAATAATGTTTATATGTAGGATGTAGAGTGTTTGAATCAATGTGAAAAGTCAAATCATCCCAAGCATGGTGGATATCAAATGGTATGTTAAATTTATATCACTATGACAAAAATATCTGAGAAAATCAACTTAAAACAAGGAAAGGTTATTTTGGTTCAGTTTCAGGAGTTTCAGGCCATGGTAGTTTGACTCCATTGTTTTTGGATCTGTGATGAGGTAGAACCTATGGCCAGGAGCATCTAGTGAAGCAAAGCTGCTCACCTCATGGTAGCCAAGGAGCAAAGAGAGAAAGAGGAAGGAACAAGGGTTCCAATATCCCTTTTAAGGGCACATCCCCAGTGTTTAATTTCTTCCCACTAGCCCCTACCTCTTAAAGATTCTGTCACCTTCTAGTAGTGCCACTGGCTGGTGACCAAGCCTTTAACATATAGGCCTTTGGAGAATATTCTAGATGTAAACTATAGCAAGCCTCAGGTAGTCTGGGGGGGCAGAGCAGGGAGAGAAGTTGGGCTGGATCACTCTTTCATACTGAGTTTTAATGTACTTGTTCTAAAGGCCAAGAGTCCTGAGTTCTGGTCACGGCTGTTTGTAACTTCTCTAGGCCTCATTTGCCTTATCAGTAGAGTGGAGAAGGAGGGTTTTGCTAGTCATTCTCCAAGATTCCTGCTAATACTGATGGTTTAGGTCTCTATGCTTTTAGATAGCCTGGTTTTTGCAGTTCACCATGAGAACCACCTCTACAGAGACCCTGGTTGTGGCAGGAAACATCTTTGTGGGGATGGTAAGTACCCTGAGGACTTGTGGTCTTCTTTTCTCAGGAGAACTAAAAACTTTGGAGAAATCAGGTTCACAAAAGTATGCTTTTCTTATGAAAAGTCAAATAAATGAAGACTGTGAGGGGTACCCAATTCCTGATGAAAGAAATCTCAGAAGCTCAAAGAGGACTCAGCTCATTGTTTTCATCCTTCAGTGTCTACTAATATTTACTTGGGCATACTTAGTCTGAATGATCCAACTTTTTACATAGGAATTTAGAGGAATGTCATAGTCCAAATCTTATCCCCCTTCAGGAGCTATAAAGGGTATTTGATCTATGTTTTGGTTTTTCCACGTCATACCCTATGACCTTTATTTTCCAGGGTCTCTAAAGAGACAAAAGCTTGTCTTGCCCAGGGCTAACACTAAGCCTCTTCCTTATAACAGTTGTTTGGTACATTTATCTGTGTGAAATATAGACTCAATGTATGTTTTTGCCTATCAGCTCATTGTTAAGGACAATGGCTTGTCAAATTGACAAGGAGTTAGAATTGAGGTCTTGCCCTCTAAATGCTCACACTGATTACCTGCTTCAGACATGTTCTCAGAGTACTTCTGGATACTTCTGAACTAGCTCTCCATGTTTTGCTAAAATTATCCATAATCAGCTTAGTTTTTCCATGTTAGATTATGGAAGTAGGAACTTATTTATATTAATATCCTTAGCATCTAGTATACCACTAGTCACATGGTTGGTACTCATTAAATTAAGGTTGATGCTAGATTTAGTTTCCATAGTTGCACCTTTATATTTCATAAATATCATTTCTTTTGACTCTTTCATAAAGAGTTGGCTTAGATCATTTACTTGCAATTCGTTTAATGAATACTTTGTCAGCATCTAGTGTTAAGACTCAGAAAGTGCTCTATATTCCATAAGTTCATTCAGGAAGTACATGGCTTTAGAAATTGAGAACATAACAAAGGAAATATGCCATTTCTTTTCTATAACATATTAAAATATGAATAGATGAGACACACATGTGTGGAAATGGGAAAGAACCATGCCAGCCAGGACCAGATTAGGTGTTGAGGGGAGTGAGGCAGATGTTGGGAGGGATTGAGGCAAAGCTCAGAGACCCCCCTCAGAGGGGCTGTGTCTCATTGAACAGCTCTCACACCGAGAGATGTGTGTCTAGTGGGTCCAGTCCCTAAGCTGGGATGGGCACTCTAGTGGAGTCACACCCTCTTAGCATCTGAATGTCTTCTCCTTGTTTGTAGACAGAGGCACCTCTACTCATCCGTCCCTACCTCGCAGACATGACCCTCTCTGAAATCCACACAGTGATGACTGGAGGGTTTGCCACCATTTCGGGCTCTGTGTTGGGAGCCTTCATATCCTTTGGGGTAGGCATGGTCCATGGGATCACTCCTGGGTGAGTACCAGCTGGGTTCTGCTGAGACCCTGATCCTGGGTCTAAATTCACAGATTGATGCGTCATCCTTGATTTCTGCCTCTGTGATGGCCGCCCCTTGTGCTCTTGCCTTGTCCAAGCTGGTATATCCAGAAGTGGAAGAGTCCAAGTTCAAGAGTGTGGAGGGGATGAAACTGCCTCATGGGTGAGTCCATGACGGCATATAATTTGGGAGATGGTCAGGTATATGGAGAGTCAAGAGTGGTCCTTTGGTGGCAGAGATTTCAAGTCTCGCTGAGAGGAAGAATGTGATTCCATCCTGGCTCTTGCCTATCTCTGCCTCTAGCTAGTCATGTTGATTTTTCTTCTTTGGTTTAATCCTCCTATTTGCCGCTAGCTTTTGCATGCCAGTATACCATTTGTTGTCTGCTTCAGTGCAGTTTCATGGCCATTACATCATTATACACTGCTTCAGAGTCATTTCCACTAATAGGGCCTCTAAGGAATTCCTCCATCACTTTGTCTCACATTGGTCTTGTACCCATATCCTGCACTGTAGGGACAGTGGGATTTCTCTTCTCTGAGGGCCTGAGACTGCTCTAGATACCATATTCTTCCCATATGCCCAATGAGCACAGGAAGGAGAAGAATATCCTGGAAGCTGCCAGCAATGGAGCCACAGATGCCATAGGCCTTGTTGCTAATGTAGCAGCCAACCTGATTGCCTTTTTAGCGGTATTGGCCTTCATCAATGCTGTCCTCTCCTGGCTGGGGGAAATGGTGGACATTCACGGGCTCACTTTCCAGGTAAAGGATTATCCTTGTTGGGCTGTCACTCTGTCATTAAAAAGTGCTTGAACTGGGCACATCATCCTGGCCCATAGTAAGCTAAGAGCATGAATGGGGGAGGGGAGAGTTGGGCCAAGGCCCCAGAAAAGGCCCTTGGTGTCTAACCTTTGTTATTTGTTTTTTTCCTGGGTTGTCTCTCTTTCACTCAGGTCATCTGCTCCTATGTCCTGAGGCCCATGGTTTTCATGATGGGTGTAGAGTGGGCAGACTGTCCAATAGTGGCCGAGATAGTGGGAATCAAGTTTTTCATAAATGAGTTTGTGGCCTATCAGCAATTGTCTCAATACAAGGACAAACGTCTCTCTGGAGTGGAAGAGTGGATCGAGGGTGAGAAACAGTGGATTTCTGTAAGTGACAATCCAGAAAAGCATAAGTAGTGTGAGGTTTCAGCCATGGCTGTCTGAGGGTAGATAGCAAGATACTAAAAAAAATTTTGTTTCAGACAACATGTCTTTCCACAGTCACAGGCCTACCCACAAAGCAAGCATAACTTGGCTTAGAAGCCTGATCTTCAGTACCTGAACAACTTATTCTGAGATTGGTGTGCTATTTCTCCCCCACACTTTGACCAAACTTCTTTCTATAATGTAATCGATGGGTCTTTACAGTGAGGACAGTCCAGGGAAGACAATTTTATTTTTTTTGGTACTGGAGATTTCACCTCAGGGCCACACACACTGAGCTATACTCCCAGTCCTTTTTGTTTTGAAACAGGGTCAATAGGGTCTCACTAAATGGCCTAAGTTGTCCTTGGTCTGTGATCCTCCTGCCTTAGCCTTCCAAATAGGGGGGATTATAGATATGTACCACCATACCTGGCAAAAGGAGCAGTTATTTTCTAAGCATCCTTTGTACCTCCCTTAGAACAGTATGGGAAAGACTTAAGGCTATAAGTACCCTGGAACTTCCATCATGATTGTATGAATGCACATGTGGGACTGAATTTATCTCCTTATTTCTGTTTGTTTTTCCTAGGTGAGAAGTGAGATCATTACAACATATTCACTCTGCGGATTTGCCAATCTTAGTTCCATAGGAATAACACTGGGAGGCTTAAGTGAGTTGTCCCCCAACTCCCCACTAAGCCAGCCAGACCCTAACTTTTGTAGTGGGCAGTTCCTGGTACTCAGAATAAGTTGAGACTAGATAGAGAAGCTGATGTGAAATGGTTCTTCTTGGGCTGCAGTTAACTTAAAACTAAATCAATATTGCTACTTGGCTCTGCATACAGTCCTTTACAAACTTTAAAACTGAGTTTTACTTGCTTTTTTCCTATCAGGGGTCCCAAAAGTGGTTGTTATTTTTATGTTCCCCATGGAGAAAATATTACAATGATATTATTTCTATTTTGCTGTTAAATGGGCACAGTGCATACTTTGCTTTTTAGTCAATAGTTAGGGTACTTTCTGAATTAGGCTGCTCACTAGTTGTCTTCACAGAAGCAGGATTTACACAAGGAATCAAAAAGACAAATTAGATACCTTAAGACATATAAATAGTAAAGGCAAGTGTTGTAAAGTGTTCTATTAAAGGCTGAAAGTCACCAGGTGTGGGAGGAGTGAGTATTTGAAGCAGAAACAGATCTATTGAGGTTGCTGTGGATATTGCTGAATGTGGGTGATAGTTGAAGAAGGTGCAATGGTCTTGGAGGGTAGGGGCAGGAGAATTATTAGCAGATATCAAGAGTTTATGAAGGTTAAAGTTAGAAAAGGATCTTAGAAGAAATGGAGTATAAGGAAAAAAAAAACAATCCTGTGTGCCCACGTTTAAAAAATGACAAACATTCTGGCAATCATCTTATTTATTTTGTAGCTGATTGAACATTGAAAGCAAAATAATTTCTCCTTATTTTGACCCTTCTGTTAAATCCCTGTCTATATTGTTAATTTGATGCCTGATTACTATTTGATTATGAGAAGGACATCTAGTAGTGGGATATGGACTGTGTGGCTCAGGTAAATGTTGTCCTCCTTAGTCCTCTGGCTCAAAATGGTCCTTCTAATTCTGGTGCAGGCTTAAGAGTGCAGACCTCAACTGGGAAGCACCAGACATTTGCACTCATTTGAAATAATCCAAAGCCTTGCTTGATTCAGATATATCTTGGGTGTGTTCACAGAGTCACTGAAGTCTGAGTTAGGGATCCCATAGGATAGTGTATATGCACACTTCTCTGGTCAGCCATAGGTGATTGGTGGTAAGGAAGCTAGACACCTGCTGCGTTTTTCTCCTCTGCATTCTTCCCAGTGGGGGCTCCTGGCATATAGTTAATTACCATGTTGTTTTGTCCACAGCATCAATTATACCCCAACGGAAGAGTGACCTGTCCAAGATTGTGATTAGAGCCCTCTTCACAGGGGCCTGTGTGTCCTTTATCAGTGCCTGTATAGCAGGTAAGCCTCAGACTGGTCTCTTGGAAGACATCACTTCTAGCAAAAGACAACATATCTCTCAGAATATTGATCTAACCATTCATTCCACAGATGGATAGAAAAGACATCTAATGTATAGGGCTCCTAGTCTATAAGCAAAGAATAAAATGCCTCGATGAGCATGTGTCGAATCTCTGCCTTAGTATCTCTGTCTTGTTTATCCAGGAATCCTCTATGTCCCCAGGGGAGCTGAATCTGACTGTGTTTCCTTCCTAAACACAAGTTTCACCAATAGAACCTATGAGACCTATGTGTGCTGCAGAGAGCTCTTTCAGAGGTGAGCATCAGGACCCCTGCTCACTGAAGGCAGTTTCTGGGGGTGGGAGTAAGGTCTTGAGAGTAGTCCTGTGGACTGAGTGGACTGAGTGAATGAGAGGAGACATGGGCATTGGTGATGGCCTAGATTTGTGCTTTTTTCTCTGAAGTGCAGCTTTGGCATTAACCCTACTATGCCCAGGTGACAGTTTCTATCTATATTGGTGGGTACTGAGGATAGAGGGGTAAGGGAAGAAATAAAAGAGTGTTTTCTTTGGTAAGTGACTATATTGATTGTGGCTGGAATATAGATATGTTACAGGTCAAGATTTAGCTATAGTCCTAAGTGGCTAAAAGATTGTGGGCTTCTTCAGACAGAAATGAGACAATTGAGAAAGGACAAAGATGAATTTATAAATCATGATGTGTTCACATTGTGTAAAAATGAACATATTTACCAAATTCTAGATGAAAAGAAGATAATATATAATTTAAGGTAAAAGAACTAGTTTTGAGACATACAAAAAAGGTTTTATAATTAATACTCTTTAATATTTTATAGCAGTACTTTTTATTTTTATTTTTTTGTTAATGTGAGACTAGACTTTTTTACTTCAGATTGGAATGTTTCTGCAGATCTTGTGGTATTTGTCTCTCTAGTATGATATATAAAAATGTAGTTAAAAGGAATAATTTGAGGAATTAGAATGTTGTCAAAGCCAAAGGTGTATGGGTGAGTGAGGAGAGCTCTGGGAGAGAAGGCTAAAAGACAGCCTTGGATGAAATGCTACAGAATTGCTGGGCTTGCATGCCTCCCAGCAGCTTGGGAGGCTGAGGCAGGATGATCACAAATTCAAAGCCAGCCTCAGCAACTTAGTCAGGCTCTAAGCAATGCAATGAGACCCTCTTTCTTAATAAAATACAAAAAAGGGCTGAGCATGTGGCTCAGTGGTTAAGTGCCCCGGTACTAAACAAACCAAAAATGCTGAGGAATTTAGTTTTGATCCAAAGAATTCTGAACACTGACATGTTCAGGTATGCTTTTCAAAAGATCTTTCTGGTAGCCATTTGAGTATCAGGGAAACCAATAAACATACTATTATAATAGGTTTTAGTGAGAGATGGTAGGAGCTGATCCTAAGTGGTTTTAAAAATGGAAATGCGTGAGACCAAGTAGAATGAACAGGATTGGTCATCAGCTAGACAGGAGGAAGGGGTAAAGTGAGGAAGAGAAAGGAAAGTAGCTTTCTGCTGTGGAAAAGGAGACCCAAGTGCCAGTCATTTACTGAAATGAAGAGGCCCAGTTCCAGAATGGGAGTAAAGGGGAGAGATTATGGCCTCTTTCCATTTTGGTTGTGTTAACTTAGAATTACCTGTGGGATCACCATATAAAGCTATCATAAGCCACCTGGGACCTGGGGTTCAGGAGGAAAATTAGAGTTGGAGATGGCTTGGAAATTATCATTAAATGACCTGTTCACTATTTAGGTAGATGTTCAGATGCTAGCTGCTTAACAAATTATTAGACCAAGTTAATGAATGTTATCCTGCCTGCTTGGAGGTTATCAGCAGAGAAGGTAACCAATGTACTAAAAAAAAACAACAACAAACAAGCAAACAAACAAACCCAACCCTTTTGATGAGTATTAAAGATTAATTATAAGCTGGATAGATCATTGGTCTGGCATAATTTTTTTGATCCCTGTGTTCTTATGACAGTGGATTTCCTAGTCACATACTGAGCGTCATTAGCAGCTAGAATCTAAAAAGATGAGGTTTTTGTCCAATTAATTTATACTTATTTAGTCTGATCCGTTTTCCTTTTGCAAGAAGATGGCTTTGGGATACCATCTTACTTTTTAGATAAATTTAATTCTAGATCATTGCTAGGCATAAATTTTGCCTCAGATATCTGGAAAGGAAATTTCTAGATGGACTATGGTTAGGAATTGGACACAGGAGCAGAGACATTGTACAGGGTTCCTTGCTGGTATTATCTCTAGTATTAATGAGAAAACAAATTTAATTTGATTCAATTTATTTATGAAATGGATACATTTGTAAGTTTCTGCTTTTGTGACATTTGGGGTAACATTTTTAGCTGCTTATAAAACTTGACACCTTTTGTTGCCTTGTTTTTATCTCTCTGGCTTTTCATTTTAGTACTTCTCTGAATGGCACCAACCCACCTTCTTTTTCCGGTCCCTGGGAAGACACAGAGTTCAGTGCTTCAGCCCTTGCTAACTGCTGTGAACTCTACACCAATGCCATCTGTGCCTAAGGCTGATTGGTCCATTTCCATAACAGTTTTGATCTTAACAGATGGTGAAGGCTTGCACTCAGGTTTCCCATTCTATAAAGAACTCACTAATATCAATAATAGTAAGTGTAAAATATTCATTTTGGTTCACTATATCTAAATAATGAAATTAGCATTCATCTTTTTGTTATTTGGATGTACCAAATAGGAAATTCCTCCGGCCATCTTCAGTTTTTATTTGAAAAAAATTACCATATATATAAAAAATCTTGTTCCTTGTTGTCACCTTAAAAATTGTACAATGCTGTGTGCTATAAAAATGATTTAGTATGTGTCATAGGGCAGGGGTGGGGGGAACTATTTCTTGGAGTTCAGTGGGTGAGCGGGGTTTATATTATTAAACTTGTATATGAAAGATACATGAATATTTAATGGTCAGTTTTTTTTTTTTTCTGGTTGTCACATATCTGAAACCTGCAAGTTCCTTAAATCATTACAGAGTAAACAGAGAACACTTCCTGTACACAAACTTCTAAAGGCCCTTAACTTTTAGTATTCTTCCTTAGTGTCAGCCACATTTGCTTCAGGTTAACAGGGAATCCATTAGAACAGTGGTTTCCAGGGGGGCCTGTTTTGCTTCCCAGTGGACATTCCGCAGCATCTCTACAGTTTGTTGATTACAAATAAGAGGATGCTACTGACATCTACTGGGTAGAGACCAGGATTGCTGCTAAAATTCCTACAGGGCAGCCTTTTACAACAAAGAATTCTCTGACCCCAAACTTCAACAGTGCTGAGGCTGAGAAATGAATTCACAATATTTAATATGTTTACTTAATATTATTTATAATATTAATAATATTATAGCCTTAAGGAAGCATTTCTAAAGGATATAGGAGTTTTTATAAAAGCTAAATATGAAATTATCACATGGCCCATTCCAACTCTTCTCTCTCAATATATATATAAATTTACATATAAATGATAATTATATAAAAATTATAATGTACATATAATTTTTATTTAAATATGTATATTTAAATAATATATAATTTATACATAAATACATACATATATATTTACTCAAAAGAATTGGAAACAGGTACTCAAGTAATGAAAAGCTGACTAATACAGGCACTCAAACAAGTACATGTGCACAAATGTTGATAGCAGCACTGCTTACAATACAAAAGTGGAAACATATGCCACTGGTGGTGGTGAATGTCTGTAATCCCCAGAGACTTGAGAGGTTGGGGCAGGAGGATCAGAAATTTGAGGCCAGACTCAGTAATTTAGCAAGGCCCTAACCAACTTAGTGAGAACCTATTTTAAAATAAAATAAAATAGCTCAGTGGAAAAGCTTCCCTATGCTCAATCTCAGTAACCCCCCCTTCCCCCACACAAAAAAAACCAAATAAAAAAACAGTCCAAATGTTCATCAACAGATAATTGGGTAAAAAATTGTGGTTTATATATATGTACAATGGGATTTTGGCCATTAAAAAGATAATACAAGATATAGAGGAACCTTAAAAACATTATGCTAAATGAAAAAAGTCAGACATAAAAGGCTTACTATAGTATGATTCCATTTATATGAAATATCCAGAATAGATGGAGCCATAGAGATATGACACAGATTGGTGGTTGCCAGGGCCTGGGAGTGGAGTGTGAATGATTGATTACTTGGGTAATAGGAATGTTTTAGCGCTAATTAAGATGGTTGTGCCACATTGCCAGTGTGCTAAATGTCACTGAATTGTTTGCTTTAAAATGATTAATATGTTATGTGGATATCACCACAAATTAAAAAAAAAAATTTTAAGGATTTAGTTACTTGTATGTTCCCTTAGCTAATCTACCTCCTCCAACTTTCCAATTCTCTGAGCAACTCTCTCCCATGTTTTCCAGAATTGACATAAAAGAATAAAGAAAGCTTAGATAAATTGCCTCTTGAACTGCTGCTGACTGATTTTGCCATATGCCTGGTTTCTTTTGAAAGGCAGCAGAACGCATTGATTGATGGTATTGGATGCTAGGCTAGATACTGGGGTTCTCATACAGACACTGCCACAGGGTGATTTGGTAAAATCGTCTGTGTTTTGGCTTCTTCAACGGTAAAATGAGGATACTGACACAAACATAGGTAAAACAGAGACTGTAAGCCCGAGCTAGTTAGCTACAATCATTACTATTTAAGAAGCTGCGTGAAGGCCATCAATTTGTCACACAAGGACATGTGGAAGGTGGGAACTCCTCATCTCCCTTCGGGAACAAGGGCTGGCTAATTCTATTTCCTATTTAAAGTAAAACTGCTGTAAACTCTCGCACTTCGCGAGTCTCACTATAAATGCGGTAAGTATAACAATTTTAACACCAGCGTCTGCAAACAGTCTCGAAAGCAGGAACAGAAGCAAACCGGGCTCCGGCGACCTCAACCAAGAATCGCTGCTAGGCTGGCGGAAGTGGGCCGACGGCAGGGCGCCAAGAGCGGACGAATCCCAAGAGCCGCACCATCCCGACCCTAGGCTCTCGGGCTCCGCCCTGGGGGCGGGGCCAACACGCCGACCGCGTCTTCCGTTTGGTGCCAAGGCGCCTGCGCCTGTCTTCCGCAGCCTGCCTCCGCCCTAGCAGATGGGTACTAGGGTGTGAGCGAGAGGCTTTGAGAGTCCTTATGAAAAAGGCAGGGAGGATCAGGAGAAATGGAAAGGGGCTGGGTTGACATGTGAGGGTAGGAGTGTGGAAAGGAGATCAGGGTGTGTGGAAAGGAGAGGGTAGGTCGGATCACTGAGTAGGTAGTCTGTTGTCTTAAACACCTATAAACACCGTATACCATAAGCCCCCCACCCCCACCTCTCTCTCTCTCTCTCTTTACGTTTTTGATTGTTCCACAGCCTACTTTTTTTTTGTTAATGTGTACACGTATATTTCTAGGCCAGTACATATAGATCTGTATAGATCTCCCTCACTTTTTATGGACTGAATGGGATTCCCTGTAAGGATATACCATAAGTTGTTAGCTGTTTGTCTATTGATGGGCATTTAGATTGACTTCTGTTTGGCCAGTTATTTCTAGAGTCTAATTGAGATGCACAATATTTCTGTTTGACTCCGACTTTTGACACTCCTTTAGATGCCCCCAGATCTCCTTTTGATGAGGGTCTTTGGTTAAGCTATTCAAAGAGTTATCACTTCTGTGGTGTAATTGACTTTATTATTAGGTTCCAATGATTGAACCCTGGGGTGCTTAGCCACTGCGCCACACCCCAGCTCTATTTTGTATTTTATTTAGAGATGAGGCCTCACTGAGTTGCTTAGAACTTCACTAACTCACTAAGTTGCTGAGGCTGACTTTGAACTCTCAAGATCCTCCTGCCTCAGCCTCCAGAGAGCTGGAGCCGCTGGGATTATGGGCGCAGTGCAGTTCCTTTTTATTTTTTTGTGGTGGTGGGGGGATTGAACCCAGGGCCTTGTGCATGCGAGGCAGGCACTCTTCCAATTTATTTTTATTATTTTTTTTTTGAGATAGGTTCTCTCAAGTTGCTTAGGGCCTTGCTAAATTGCTTAGGCTGGCTTTGAACAGTGACCCTCTTGCCTCAGCCTCAAGCGGCTGGGATTACCAGTATGTGCCCTGCATCTAAAGAGTGTAATTGACTTTTAAGGCAGGAATAGAAAGATTAGGAACCACAAGAGGTAGATACAAAGTCCTGGCCAGAGTCCTTTTCAAGACATGAGGGAGTTGTTTTTTTTTTTTTTTTTTGTTTTTTTAACTTTACCTTTGAGTTACATCCCCAGTCCCTTTTGTTGTTGTTGTTGTTGTTTGTTTTGAGACAAGATCTCACCGAGTTGCTGAGGTCTCTCTAAGTGGCTGAGACTGGCCTTGAACTTGCAATCCTCCTGCCTCAGACTCTTCAGACATTGGTATTACATTGTGCCCTTCCATGTGGGAGTTCTTCATCTTTCTGAGACTCAAATTCCACTTCTGTATAATGATAATTATCTCTACCTTAAAAGTTACTAGAAAAATGTATAATATATGTGAAAAAACCCCACATTGTATAACTGGTAAGGTATTTCAAATTATTCTTTCTGTAAGAAATTAGAGTGTAAAGCCTTTGTTCCTTTTTACGAAAACATTTGCTTGGTGATTGTTTATGTTCTTGGCATTGCCTAAGGAGTTTTACATTTTTTTTTTGTCTCCCTACCTCATTTAATCCATGTAACTCTTTGAGGAACTACTATTATCCTAGTTTTCTAAAGGAGGAAAGACAGGCTTAGAATTAAGTACTTTCCTTAGAGTCACAAAGTAAGTGACAGAGCTGGAATTTGAGACCAGGGTCTCCCTTGAAAGGCCTTGCTCTGTAACCACTGATTGCAATTTGATGCTCTTCCAGCCCTTCCTGCCTGTCTTTTCTCTCTTGCTCCAATCAGTGTCTCAAAGTCCACCCATTTACCCCAAGTCATCTCATCAGTTCCTAAATTCAAAGTATTTTATACTTTCTGTCCTTCCCATGTGCCAGTCACGTTCTGTTATGTGACTTCTTTTGTATTTTTGCCTTATACTGTTATCTGTTCTCTTCTACTACAGCAAGTGGAGAAATGGTTGCTATAAAAACTGGCAAAGATAAAATTATTTTATTTGGCAAGATCAGCTCTTCACATATGGAGGTCTATGAGGGCAGAGACCTGTTTTGTTACCAAAGCCTTATGAGCTAGTACCCTGCAAAAAAAAAAAAAAAAAGTTGAGTGAATAAAAAGATGAAGTTTCAAGGGCTTGGGCCTGAAATACCTGGAGCAAAATGAAGGAACAGAAAATGTCTACTAAATGAAAGAATACACATAAAGAACTTATACTACCTGGTACAAAGTAAACATTTAATCTATGTTCATTGTTATTGGTACACAAGTATAAATAGGAACTGGGGAGGGAGTTTGTGGGTACCAGGTAGAAAAGGGGAAGGCAAAAGAAAAAAAAATGGAGCACAATGGTCCTGGGATAGGGCTATTTGCCAATGAGAACTTTTCTGAGGCAGAAATGGGCAAGGGACATTTAAGAACAGGATACCTAGTCCTCACCTTGTTGTAAACCTCACCATTCTTGGTCTCAGATCTTCAGTAAAAGTCTACTATACTTATGGTCTGGTGCAGGTGCTATTCTGAAGAATTCAAGAATCTAGGAGCTGTCCAATATAGGTGATGTGGTATAGGCAGTCCAGTAAACGAGGCTCACATTCAGCAAGAGCCATAGGTTTTCAGGAGAGATATGGGGTGTCCAGAAAACTTTAAAATGTTGGGAACAATGTTGGTTTTTCTCATTATGTATAGGATGGAGTTCAAGAGGAGATCTGGGGGCATCTAAAGGAGTGTCAAAAGTCGGAG